ACGTCACCGGGCAGAGTCTGGTGGCAAACACACTCAAATAAAATGGCGGATTATACCGACGTTAGCGACCAAGAAAAACACGGCTTTTCGGTAAGCTTATCATTGTCAAATGCAACGAAAGTCATTTTTATGTTAATATTGTAGCTCGAATGGTTCGACTTTAGATCGTTATTTTGCATAGTTATTCTGGGAGTGACGATTTTGTTTCCACCGGTTCGACCGAACAACAGTGTCTTTTTCCAGTCGCCTGAACTGAGGACGGGTGATGTTTTGTTGACGATCGGGCCAAAATCGTCTACGGTATTGAAGCCGTAGCTGTAAATATTCATCAAATTGTATCAACATTTTGTACATTATACAATAACTCTTTATTAATGTAATTGAGCTGATTTGGACCGGATAAAATATTTTTTATTTGGAACACATCACAATTGATCAGGAAATATTTTTTTGCTCCAATTTTCTGCGTCGATGTCGTGGGCCGGCGACCGTTATACAATTTAATATCAGTTTGCATTGTTTACTATAGCTGTTTACAGTGTTCTAATCATTACGATTTACTTATTTTTTTGCTTCCATTCTAGATAATTATGCTCAGTGATGTAAAATTGAAGCGATGACTGAATGAACGAACCTTGGTTGGCGAAGATGTATCTGGAAGTGTACACATTTGTTGGAAGTGAAAAAAATATTCAATGTAATGACAAAAATTGTAAAATGCTGTGGAATTTCTTTTGCAAATAAAAATATACTAGCAGTTTTCTATTAATGGTTTATTCAAGTGGGCAAAATATAATGTACGGAAAGATTGCCCGTATACACTGAAAAGTAAGCAACCAACAGCCTGTATAAAAGGGGGGCTGTGATTGGCTGTTACTTACGCGAGATTTGAACGGGTCTTACATAGGCGTCGGATCAGATGTAGGTAGGGCGGAATTAAAAAAATCACAAAATCAAAATCAAATTAAAATAATAAAATAAAAGGGCATTAATAACAAAAGTAATAAAAAATAAAATTAAAATAAGTTTATAGCCAAAATAATTGAAGCCCGTACACTACATCAGATTTTAATCAGATTGCTCATATAATAACACAAGGTAGGAAAGCGTTGACACCATAACATCGAAACTTCCCTAAAATAACACGATTTTCCAAATTATATTTCGATCCGCTTCACACAACTCAAGCACGATATCGGTAGAAACTATCGATCGACTTACATTTCCTTTATTCGAACAAAAATGGGTTAAATCCTGTGAAAATCGAAATACCAGAGCAATATGAATCAACCCATCTACGTGGATATTTTGAAGCAGAGGCTCGTGCATGTGCAGTTCCAAACATTTACGCATGCTCGGGCCTCTACTTCCGGGCGGGGGGTTTAATTTGGGTCGTGTCTGTGCAATGTGTGTGCACATTTTCATGTTACCAGCTTTTTCTCACACATGTGTGATCCAATTCAGTTCAGAGTTGGTACAGAGACAGAAATTGATGGTGCTATGGTGCACATCAAGTTATTTTTTCGATTCTTCAAAGTTTCACTGTGTTTTTCCTTGATTTTTAACATTTTTTCTTCAAAATCCGACTTCCCGAAATTATGA